TACCACTTGAGCTACAAGCCTTTTGGACTTAATTATATATTGTGACTCCATGATTCCTTGATGACAAATAACAAAGACTTCATAAGGCATAAAGTCATTTATTGATGAATTATTTGAGAGACCTTGTGTGGTGTACTACAAAGTGACAGGAGTCGTTTATTTTTTAACTTTTTGACATGGTGTTTCAAGAAAATACAAAAATGACGCCCACGTAATTGAATGGTGAAATAGCTTCATATTTAAGTGGCCTTTTGCATAGATAATCTTTGAGAGAATACATGAAAATTAAATAGTTCGGGTTATTGAAATACAATACGGAATAAGCCTTATAAGATTGTCTCTCAAATAAAATATTTTAATAAATCCCTCACTTGAAGCTCCCTAGTATGGTCACTCAAAAACCAAGAAGCACAATTGTATGGAAGATTCTTGAAAAGATAGGAACATAAGTTGACAAAGTAAGAGCCAAAAAAGAAGAAGAAGTCTTCACAATAAATTCTTCTTTTGTTTTCCCCTCATAATCATGGTTGTTTGGTCACTCAAAAACAAAGAAGCTATTTTAGCACGCAATTGTATGGAAGATTCTTGAAAAGATAAGAACATAAGTTAAGTAAGAGCCAAAAAAAAAAAACAATAAATTCACAAGTCTTCATCACTAAATTTCAGACTTTGAAAAGTCTTTCCAGTATCTTCTTTCATATTACTTTTCTTTTCTTGATTGCAAGACGGTTTGGGGAAGAAAGACTTTGGAGTTTTTCATGCACTTGAGTCAGTGTTTTGTCTCTTATTGAAATTGGAATGTTTGAGTATAATGAAATGAAATTGATAGAAGTGAGAGATTTCTTGGATTCATGGATAAGAAAATTCAGAGAAGGTTTTATTGTGTGCTTGAGTGTGATATACGTCCTACCTAATGCGTGTGGTTATCTTTTTGGTTATTTATTGCGCTTTCTCCTTGATATGAGTAGGGTGCAAGTTGTATTGAAAATTCCTATTGCAGCCAATTTGGATTGATACGAGTAGGGTGGAAGTTGAATTGGAAATTCCTATTGCCGCCAATTTGGATCCAAAGATTTTCAACTTTGGCACATCAAAATTAAATCCGATGTCCGAAAATTTCGAAAAGAATTGGATTGGAATGAAAATGTATCTCAAAATTCTAAATATTCCGGACTCCAAAATATATTGGTGTTTCAAGTTTGGATTACTAAACTTTATACTAAACTAAATATGACATACCATTTGGGATTGCTTCTATAAGAAGTACTTATGCTCTTAACCGTTTTTGTTCGAATCACCTTTATTAGAAGAACGTTGAAATTTTTGTTAAAAATGCAAGTGCTTCTTAGAAAAACACTTTGACGGGTGCTTCTCCAAAAAGCACCCATAAGCGGTTTACATTTTTTTCTGTCAAGCACAATCATAAACGCTTTTAATTGTTAGAAAGCACTTTTATCTCTTCCATAAACTCTCCCAAATAAGCCCACAAAATTTCTCTCTCCTTTGTGTTTTTCCAAAGTCTCCCTAAATACTAACATATTAATAAAATGAACTGGAAGCAACCCTTGGCCGAGTTGGAGTTAATTGATATAAAACATCTAGTTTTATTTTCTGAAAGTAAGGAAGAAAAAAACTATAAGAAATAGGCTTTCGATTTCCTTGTAAAATATGGAAAGAATTCATCAGAAGAAGATACGGACCGGTCGGTACAGGGACACTTTTGGGTTCGTAATCAGTCCAAAAAACAAAGTCTTGGTCAGTCAACGGAGGGAAACAGAACTCATTGCCCCTACTTATAAATTTCACGAACTTGCCTAGTAACCCCCCACAACTTCTTTTTCACTAACAAAAGAACCCCCCACAGATCATCCTTATTTCTTGAAGGTTCTTCTTCTCTTCTAATCTATCTATTCACTCCTATCCAACATATAAAAAGGCTAGTTATGGCTGGACAGCATCCTGAAAATGTTGATTCGACCTTTGAAATAAGGTTTGTTTCTTTTATACCGATATCATTTTAAGAGGATTTAACTGTATATTTTAAATCACAGTATTATCCTATTTGTTGTGTGAAAAGTTAGCAGTTATGTTTATTGTAATTGTCACGTATATTAAAATGATTATCTCTCTATCTTTTTTATTTTATTTTTCTTTCTGTACACTAATTGAGGTGCGTAGTGAGTATCATAACATTTTACACTAATTGTCACAGTATATACACTAATTGTCACGTATATATATATATTACTTTTCATTTTGATTTGGGTTAGATACTCTAATTTCTACGTTAAGTTGTTTTACTTCTCTTAATTTTTGATTGCATTTTTCTTTTAATCAGCATTACACCAGGTATAGCTTTCAATCCGGAAAATGCTAAGGGGCAAGCACCACATCCCACATCCAAAATTGGAGGACTTAGAGCAAAGGAAAAATGGGAAACAAAACTTCTTTCAGCTTCACTGTGGAATAAGATAATTGTAATTTCATGTGTTATTGCAGTTTCCCTAGATCCCTTGTTCTTTTACATTCCATTCATCGATAAGGAAAAGAAATGTCTTGGAATGGACAAAAAGTTGAGGAATGTTGCTCTTATTTTGCGATCTCTCACAGACATCACTTTCTTAGTGCATATTGGATATCAAATTTGGGAAGCTAGCAATAAGGCCTATAAGGCAATCACAAGACCAAAAACACTCTGGCAAAAGGATTGGCAACCAACATTGAAAAAAATGAGATAATTCCATTTGCTAAGAAGTTTGCTGGGTATTTGTCATGGCTCTCTTTCTTAACTGACCTTCTCGCTGTTCTTCCCATGCCACAAGTAAGAGTTTTTTCTTCTTCTTTTTTTGGTTGGAGATTATGAGCTAGGTTTGTCCAGCTTTAAATAATAGATTTCTAACCCATTACTGTTTATTATGTCAGATTTTTGTAGTAGTGATTTTCTTCAAAATGAAAGGGCCGGAATATTTGGAACACAGAAGGGTTTTGAACCTTTTTCTTCTCAGTCAGTATTTGCCGAGGATTTTTCGAATTATCTTATCATCTAAGAAACTTACAAAGACTGGAATACGGTCAAAGCCGTATTCAATTTTTTTCTATACATTCTTGCGAGCCATGTAAGTTTTTCTTTTTTCTTTTTAATATTCATTTTGGTATTAAAATGATTGATGAACTTGAACTTCATTTACAATAAAAGTGACCATATGGTGCTGGCTTAATTGATGTGGTAATATATATAAGTAGAGTGAGTGTAGATGTACAATGCACTTGCAAAATTCAATTATTGAGCACTAGCTAGTTCCATCTTTATCAACTACTGTTACCACATATACTGTTATTTTAAAGCTGAAAATTCCCATCTCCCCACAAGAGTACTGTTATTTTAAATATATATATATATATATATTTTTTCCAAATACATCTCTTCCCATTATAAACATCTTCCTCCCAGAGAGTTTTCCTTAATGTATCATAGTGTTTGTTATAATGCTTATGTACTGGTTTAACTTTTAGGTACTTGGAGCCTTTTGGTATTTCTTTTCCGTTCAACGAGAGACATCATGTTGGCACCGAGCTTGTAAAGGAATACTATAGATTATACAGAATGCATGAGTACCTTTTATTGTGATGATCGCAATACTACTGATGATCGCAATACTACTTCAAGAAATATTAAATTTTTCATTGATCATTGTGGAGTAGATTTTCCAGCGGACAAGCAGCCATTTAATTATGGAATATTTCTTGATTCCCTTAAAAATGATGGTAACACGGGGGTTATAGATTTTCCAAGCAAGTTATGCTTCTCTTTTTGGTGGGGCTTGAGAAATCTAAGGTTTGCTTGCACGTACCCATTTAATTATTTGACAATTTCAGCATTTTCTTTTGTATAAATATTCAAACTAAACAAAAATTCGAAGTCATATTCGTATACCACTTTTCCTTAATTTATTATTAACTACTTTTCCTTTTTGATGTGATAACTAAACTTACAAAGAGAATGAATCCTTTTTTATTCCTAAATTCCTCTCATCGTACAAAAACTTAACAAACAGTGAAGAAGGAAAATTAGATAAACAAATAAGTGTTGCTTTATAACTACTTTCCTCCACGAATCACTTTTAGTGTCACACATTTTGCTTGATCCTTTGTTTAATTTTTGCAGCAACTTTGGGACGAATCTCACAACAAGTAATTATGTGTGGGAAAACTTCTTTGCAATCATTATTTCTATCACTGGTGTGCTACTATTTGTATATCTCATCGGAAATGTGCAGGTTGGTAATGAATCTCTGCTAGATATCTATTTAGTTCACGTTTATTTTCCTTCAGCTTCAGGGCTGATGATCATTGAGCTTCTAATTTACTGTTTGTGGTGAAATGTACGTACAGACATTCATTCAGTTGACAACCACAAAATCAGAGGAAATAAGGCAAAAGATTAAAAAAAAAGAGAGAGTGTGGGAAACATGGATGGACAAAAATCGTGTTCCTGAAGAATTGAAGAAAGAAATCAAGAAAAACATACATAAAAAATTGGAAAAAGACAAAGATGCCGATCTGGAGAATCTATTCGATGTTCTTCCCTGGTATACGAAAAAAATTCTGAAGCGTCATCTTTGCTGGGATATTCTATCACAAGTAACTCTCTCTCTCTCTCTCTCTCTCTCTCTCTCTCACACACATAAGTTATCAACATTGAACTTGTATATATGAATGAACCTTGTTTTGTGTTTAAATATTATCACTGAAGAAAGTTGTGCTTCCTTCAAAATCAATTGACAATTAGGAGGTGATCCAACTCTTTATTCTTTACTTTTGTATCTGAGAGGCACTCTAAAATCACCCTTAATCTGTCTTATACACTCAAATCATTTGTGAGGAGTAGAGTGTGGGAGATGAGATGTGGAATGCCAAAGGCATCGATGGATTAATCTAAGCTAAACTATATATAAATGCAGGGACAATTCCTTAAGGTTATGAATGAAAAAGTGCTGAAAATGATTTGTGACTATGCGACACCAGTGATGTTCCCCGAAGGTAAAAACATATTTCAAATGGGGCACCCAGTTGATCGCATGCTCTTCATTATAGAAGGCACTGTCTTGACCTACAGCACAACTAACGGTGCCTCCTCATCAATTGTCACCAAGCAACTTGGGAAAGGGCATATTTATGGAGAAGAGCTTCTGATGTGGGCATCGCCCAACAAATCTAAGGTTGACAAGCTTCCTACCTCCACCGAAATTGTGAAATGTCATACAAAAGTAGAAGGCTTTGCTCTCTCAGCCAAGGACTTGATAAGTGTAGCCTCCAAATGCCGACGCTGGTGGAACTTAGACAATGACCCTTGATTGATTTCCACAAAAAAAACAATCATCTGTTAAATGCTACTTGTTGTACTATATGCATAAAGGTTGTATCGTTCTTATGTCTAAAATTACCTTTTAATGTTACTATGATGACCTAAAAATGATTTATTATGCACACATTTGTATGCTCATACCTCTGAGACTGCATCTAAATCAATTTTATGGCTTCTTCTGAAGCACAGATACATTTTTCTTTACTAATTCATCCTAGTTCTCTCTTTTGCTCGACAAACTCGAGCAACAGAAACTACAGAAGTAAGGGCAGTGCAATCAAATTAACCTATGGACTACCTAAACCTGCAGAGAGAACACTCACATTCATAAGCCACAATATGGAAGTAGATATGTCTTCGAATAAGCTTTCCTCCCCTGTACTTACTCGCATCTTTCAGACACTATGGAAGAGCAGCAGAACCCCTTTTAACATCTCTTTAGTATATCACATCCATCTGCATACAGGAACTTCATATCAAGCGACAAGATCAACCTCATCACGTTCAGGAGAAGCCACATCTAATCTCATCATACTCCTATATTCATCCGGAACAGGTGCACCTGCCTGCACACATAGCTCCACCACAGCTGGAGCCTTGCCATAATACCTCTTTAGGTTGTTATCTAGAGCAGGACAATTTACGTCTCGGACATGCCAAACATAGTTCAGACCTACAAGATCTTCTATTGTTGCTTCTTGCCATGCATGCAAACCGTTTCGAGATTGATGCTTTGATGCCTTGCACATCCTAACTTTGTGCCCCTTGGGACCCACCTGGACCTCTAAACAATATCCACAAGTCTTCACACTGTATTTCTCCATGATCTTCTTTGCTCTGGATATCATCTCAAACCATGAGCCCATTGTAGTACTACTCAACTCGGTCAAAGATTTCCCCACTTTATCACTTGATTTATCTACACAGTTAGTATGACTCAGTGAAGCTGAATTTCTCAAATCTTCCATATTAGTTCCTAAATCAGGATCTACTAGGGGATCAACAATCCCAGAATATGAGTTTCTATCCATTTCATCCATTTTGTTAACCATCTCAAAGTCCACAATTCTTCCTTCAATACAATATACAGGTCTCGTTCTTCTCTTTGTTGGGTACTCGTCAATCTCTAGACCAGCCTGTATACAGAGCTCCAAAATGGCAGGGATCCGTGGGATTCGATACCTCTCGTCATGCCCAACTCTTGGTTTTCCAACACGATCATAAAGATGGAAGCATTTAGGAAAGGAAACCACATCTTGAACTCCTCCCTTCTTCCAAACATGTGTAGCACTCCGAGAACCACTATGTGGGCCAGTGCAAGTTCGGATTTCATGACCCGCATGTCCAATGTGAACTTCGGAGCAAAACCTGAGATTAAAAGCCTTGTTTCAATAACACAATCAATTAACAAGGTTAGATATTCTGATCACTCGGTAAATCAACCAATTACTACAAAATGCAAATTAAGAATCATCATTATGTTAGCAATTCATATATTTTCAGTTAAATGTGCCCTATTTCTTTCCATAGACTCTGATTATCTTCCCAAATTAGCTGTATATCCGACAGTGCATGTTGGAAATTGCTTTGGCAAGTTGAATGCATCAAAGCAGTACACAAACAACGTTGAGATTACAAGCGAGGAAGAGAATATGGACATCTACAAAAGATATCCTGCCTACATAATCAACACAAGTCACCGCCAGTAACTAACTGTTAAAACCCTAAAAGGATATAAATCCTTAAGCCAAATAATTGACAAAAGATATGCCCACAATGTACAGGGGACTAAAAATCACAAACTTCACTCTTACAAGAGATGTGGACAAGAGAGGAACCACAACGTATAAGGACGAGTAAGTTTAGTTTACTAAGGTGAAACTGAAAATTAGAGTTGACATGTGAACTCGTAAGCAAACTGAAGGAATGAGCACAAGCAAACATAAATAAAAGAGGCAACCTCTGGCTACCTGCACCGTTGGACAGGAACAACTTGAAGAAGCTTTGACAAGCCAAACAGGACCGATTGTCGAGCTTGGTAAACTTGATGAGCCACCTCAACCAATTCAGGGACCAACAATCCATTATCAGGAGGTTCTTCAATCATCCTACAAGGCTGGGCCTTTCGGGCTTCTTTCTCCTCCTTCGCTCTTTGAATCAAAACCTTCATAGGTGTAGGGTAAGGCTTCCTCTCTGACATTTTTCTTGGAGGTCTTGGTACATCCGCATACAAAGGATCATCTGCATCACCTATTAAGGTAAGGGTTCTCTCCGATTCAAAACACGCCTTTTGATCAAGTCGACAATGAAATCTTGTAAAATTGCAAGTTTTCCATATTATTCTTCTCTGCATATTGTGTGGAGATTCTGCACAATTACACAATTTGAAATACAAATCAGAACTAAAGTAGATTTATTAACAGGGCTTTGGGCTATCAGGATCAATTAATTCCATCTTTCTAAACTGAAAATATAGTTCAATTCAATTGAAATACTTCTGATATTACACCTGATATTACTGAATGCATCATCTAAACAAAAAGATTTGCCAAGCATTTTCTGACGAAGGCTCCTTATAATAGAAATAGGTGGTGGGAAGGAGGCAAAAATTCTATGGAGTTGTAGTGTGCTGGTAGTTACTCGGATAATTTGGATGGACAGAAACAGGAGCGACTGAGATTAGCATTCAGAGGGAAAAGAGAGATCGAACCAGGGCCCGCCAGGATCACAATTTTTTGGGCAAAAGCTTTGGCTAAATTTTTGTTCATTCAGTGAAAACATCTGTCAAAATTTCAGCAGCATCTCATCTGTATTTATAACATTTTCTCAAATTTATACACTCAAAGCCAAAGCAAGAATATGAAACAGCATCGAAAGGACACAAGATACAATGCGCTTACCTCTTCAAAATGACCAAATGCTGATATTTAACACCTCAAGCATCAACTTCCGAAGAAGACGAACTGAAAAGGAAGAAGAAGAGCCGAAGAATGGGGAGGGCTGGGTAACTGGTTACACAAGAAGAACTGGAGAAAAATGAAAATGAAGAGCAAGAACAAATCAAATGAAGAAATCGAAACTGAACAAGAGCCTGAGGAAGACGAAGAAGAGGGGGGAGGGGAGGACTGGAAACGGGAAGCGACTGTGAACTGCGGTGAAATTTTATTTTATTTTAGTTTTATTCTGATTTTGGGTTGGGCTTGCAAGCACTCCAGGGGAGAGAGAGAGAGAGAGAGAGAGAGAGAGAGAGAGAGAGAGGAAAAGGCTTTGCCAAAGTCGGGCTTAGTTGTGGACTGTTGTTGGGTTCTATTTCATACATTTCTAATTTTTCATCAGAATATAAATTCATTAGAAAATCAGACAAATACAATAGAGAAATAATGGGGGTCTAATGAGGACATGATTATATACGTTTTATACCGTATAAATATTTATAAAATTTTGCAACTCGATTTTGAGGAGGATGGTTTGAGACACATGATCCCGAGTATAGGGTAACTGCTCTTAACCACTTGAATTACAAAGCCTTCGAAAATTATATACATTCTTAGACAATATAATTTCTTTAAGTTTGAAACATTTTTCTAATGTATACCCCATATATTTTGTATCTGTGACTGTGATGGTGGATGTATTTGGAGGGCCCCTGCCTATTGTAGTTGAAGAATGCCAAAATAAGTTATAGAAAAGTTCTGCATTAGACCCAAAATTTCTGATGCCACTGAAGTGAAAATTGATTCTAAATTTATACTGAGTTATATATTCCACACTGTAAACAATATGGACTTTTTTCCCATACCATACATACACAGTAGAATTTCAATTTACATCAACAAATCATGTAACATTTACCACAACAGTAATTAGTTTTGCTTTTATCTTCATATGGGTCAGTTCTTAGCAGTCCAGGTTTCTTTAAAACCTACTCTGCTATGCAGAGACTGGGAAAAAAGCACACCCAAATATCCTACCTATAAATAAGCAACAGCCTGGTAAACACAACCTGATCTGCAGATAAAAGCTAGATGCATGTATGCATGAGTATACATGAATCAAATCTCACAAGCATCTGAGATTCCACTACATGTAGACAACAGCACTTCCAGGTCAATAGGCAATCAATTTTGTAATAAGAGCAGGCAAATGATTATCTGCTGTTAAGAAACAAGAGCGATTTCCAAAAGCACAATTCCTCAAAACAATTTGAAAGGACTGATAAGTTGCTTAGCTTTATTGGTGATTACCTTAACTGCAAAGTATAATTTCACCCCCCGAGCAAGAATAGAACCAAATTACATGGATATCAGCAGCAACAAAATATACAATTATCAGAAACGTATTTCGGTAAGACTAGTTACATTCATCTAGGAGAAGCGAAGTAGTCGTATAGCCAACCCATTTTTTGGGCTAAAGGCTTAGTTGGGATGCCACCCCATTTGGAGGAATGAAAGATTTATGTCAATTTCAGGAAGCCAACAAAAACTAAATCCATCCAATTTTTCTTTTACATGGAACTGCATAGACAGATTCTATCTGCTCGACAGATAATTACACTTAAAGCATGCAAGTATGTAATTAAGTAAAATTTTGTATCACGTACTGAAAACCATAATGATTCTAATCCTCCTCTTTTCACACATGTACAAGGGCACACCTGCACTTGCATGCATGCTCCTTCACAAGCAAATTCACACAGAGAATCATACTAAAGGCAAGTTGTGTTGCAGCAACTACATAAAGTCCATATTAAAGTTAGAATTGGAAGAATAGTCTCTGTTGGAGTACTTATTCCTTTGGACTCAAATACTTGAAGAAACATGAATGTCGCATAGAGAACAAAGCTAATTTCTACTGACACCGAATTAGGTCAAATATGCCAACCAAAAGAGCTCCATATCAAAATGCATAAACTTTAATACACACTCGATGAAGATCTGATCTCACACTCATATTGCCAAAACATTATTGAGGGATAAAGAAACTTTATTCATTTTAAACAAGATAGTTACATAAAAAATTGGAATTGGGAAATCTCTAGTCCTTATTGACTTGATTTCAAGCTCGACAGATCAGTCTATAACCATACCTAACTGAACAAAGTACACATCATATGCATTAAACAATTTGCTAAACTTTACAGTTCTCACCAACACTGCAAACATTCTTGCTTAATAAGCAGAGAGCAGTTTCTTCAAGCAAAGACGTTACCCATCAACAATGAATTGATCATCTTGATTTTCTCCCTCAACCCTAGCATCCTCATGAACCAAACTATTCACATGGTGCAAATTCTGCATCATTTGTGATAAATAATGGTTACTAGCACTCGTATGATCAGACAGTCCAGCTGGATGAGCAGTCCACTGAGAGACAATCCCTAGTAACTGGCTTGTAAGGTTTTGTTGCTCATGAAGCATACGAGTCTGCATCTGGCCCATCTCTGCACGGTGGTGACCCAACATTTCGTCAATCCTCTTCTTCCATTCTGATCTCCTCCTATCCATCCTCTCCTCCCATTCCCTCTCATGAATCAACTCTTCCTCTTTTCTTCTTCTTTCTCTCTCTTCACTCTCCTTCTCCAATGCTTCCCATTCTAGAATCCTCTGCTTCTTCAACTTCTCCCTTGTCTTTTCTTTCTCCTCCTTTTTATTTACCCATTCCTCCCATTTCCATTCCCGTTCTTGCTCACACTCCATTCTAAAACTCTCACTCCTCTGTCTGTCCCGTTCTCTCTCTGCCTCACGTTGCTCAAACCGAGCCTCCATTTCCTTCAACTTGCTTAGTTGGTTACCTAGAAATCCCCATGCCTTCTTTCCCAACCCCATCGACGCCTCCCTCTTCTTCTTCTTCTTCTTTAAACTACGACCATTTTGCTCCACTTCTTCGCACACAAACCTGTCATCTCCATCCTCCCTAACCCGATCATTGCCATTAAAATTCTCCTCTCCCTCCTCCCCATCATAATCAAATCCTAAACCCATCACTCCATTCTCAACCCCATCAATCCCTGCCCCGAAATCCCCATCGGAATGGCCCATTCCACAAGCCCCATTCCCCCACAAACACCCCACCATTCTCACCATCCCCATTCACAGATGCCATCAGTTCATTACCATTGCTATTCACGATCCCCACATCCCCAAAAACCTCCTTATATCTCAAGAAATTCGACCAATGGGTAAGGCCCTCCATCCAGTCAAACTCCTCCCCACTACACTCCCCACTACCACCACCACTGCTAGCACCACCGTCGGGTTGTTGTTTCTTGATCTTCTGCTTGACAAGTAGATATTGGTGCCTCATGTTCTGGACCTTGGTGGAAACATCCTTCCAAGACCATTGCCAACGGTAGGCAATTGGGTCTTGAACATGGTGCACAGAATTCACATAACAAGCAATGGGTTTAAACTTTTTCTCTCTGGTTTTCATCTTAGCAAGCGTCCCATCAGATACCATCTCACCGTATTTGTCAATCAGAGTTCTCTCCTCGGCCTCTGTCCACTTCTTTCTTCTTGAGGGCATCATTGAGCTAAAGCACCAATCTTTACTATCCAAACAATCCCAACCTTATTTCAGACCAAGTTGTGTGGCATGGAACAAAGGCCTAGAAGTCCAAATCATACAGGCTAATAGCTAACAGCTAAAATTGGACATACCCAGATCGAGAAAGCATCAGAATTGTTCATCAAAGTAGAGAATAAGTTGAGTACTTTACTGACCTTGAGAAGGAGATTGCAAATCTCTGGTGGGCATTTTCTTGGAAAATTGGCAGAGAAAATGCGGGGAAGTTGTGGGAAAGTTGATGGGTTAGTGTAGTTGTATCCTTTGTTTGAGATAGTTAAAAGGACCAGACCAATAGTTCCAACTGGGGAGTTGAGAATTTTATTTGCAATCCACCAGAGTAGATACAGGGACAGCAGATTTGGTTGTCCGAAATCGTTTTTCTTTTCTTTTCTTTTCTTTTTCTTTTTTTTTCAGTTTTTTTCTGTTATTAATAATAAAAGAAATGGTTAATTACACATTTCCACCCCAAACTTTGGACGTTTTCCAATTTGGTTCTTACATTTCTTTTGTCTCAAGTTGGTCCTTTAACTTTCTTTAAACTTACGGCCTCACTGCCGTGCCCAACTTGCATAAGCTAGAGGACATATAACCACGACGGTTGCAAAACTTGATGGAACACATAGCAATTTCTTGAACGTTTTATGTTGATCAAAGAAGATGGTTTACACCCCTCTAGTCCATTTCCTACTTTGACCCCATTATCTTTCGGTAAGTGGTCACTGGACCACTTCTTTCTTCTTATTTTGCTTTTGGTTGTTTTGGATCTTTGCATGGATTTGTAATTTTTTAGTTTCCACATCATTTCCACATAAAGGAAAGGTTCCTTAATTGCCTCTCTGGCTTTCACTCTCAACAAATTAGTTGGGGTCTTCTTACCTTGATTAGTGAACTTGGATGAAGGGTGAGTATGAAGCACTGTTCTGCATTAATAATTTATAATAGATTCCCCCAATAAGTTCTCTCTCATACAAGAAAAACTGTTAAAGAAAAGAAATATAATAAAAAAACCAAGTATTGGGGAATCCCTACAAATAACAAACTGCATCCTGATTCCTGATTATATTTGCCTTAAAGAGGTCAGCTTCACTCCTTTTCTTCCTTTTTCCCTTTTAGACTTTGCCATCTCATGTGCCCTCATAAAAATGAAGTTTCTTTAGCTAAATACTATTCCCCCAGTTTTGCACTTTGCATGAACGAGCATTACTTGCAGAGGGTGCCAATAACTGAACAACGATGCTGTACAGCTGCATAAACTTCACTATCTGTGGCTATCAGTATTTGAGGGTGTATCAACATGGTTAGGACTTTCGACGAGAGGGGGATCCTTATCCTTAGATGCATCATTTCCCATATCCTTGGTTTTGTGAAGGAGGAAGGTACCAGATAGAATTGTGATGAAACCACACAATTCAGTCACAATCTGTGCTCCATTTTGTGACTCCCAGTCCTGCAGTAAAAAGGAGCAACAAAAAAAACCGAATTTGTGAAGCCTAAGATAATACTAATGTTTCAAAAGATATAATGATCACAATGAAACTGTGACTGCACAAACAGTAATGAGAACAGCAAATTACATATTATCTTTTCCAAAATTTCAACATTTCAACATTTCAACTTCCATTAACCTAATGCTTTTATTTTTTGGTATTTGTTATCTGTCAGTTCCAGTAGGCTTGCATTAATTGGTATTTGGAAGTGCAAGCACTTGTGTTCTTCACAAAGAATGAAATCAAGTTTTACCATGAAATTTTCACTAGCCATGACTAAGGTTTTGGTAACTATATTTGATCAAACAATAGACTTCAAACATTTAAGGCATACAAACCCTTGAAGTGATCATAGACGTTTTGGTCACCAATGTCATCTTATAACAAACTCCATTCTCAATGATGTCATTTTTGGACCTTAAATTGCATTGTTAATCACGGCAAAGCCATTCATTTACCATAACACTAAGAAAAAAAACCTGATCTTTATGTAGCATTGATAGAAAATGATTCTCATCCGTACTTGGAAAAAAAAGAAACCAAAGCATGCAAACATTTAAACATACATGTCGTAAATCACCTTAAACAAGATCACGCTGGCAAGAATGGTGAATATTGTAAACATAACATAGTAGACTGGAGCTATAATAGCAGTGTTAAAGGTGTCAAGAGCCTGCAAAAATGCATCAACAATATAAATTAAACATTCGCCTAAAAACTATATTGAGAGAGACAATTAAGCGTCAATTACATGCACGATATTGAACACTAAATAACTGGTTTTTCGGAACTACAACTGTAAACATAGTTTTAAGTTATGTGCAATCTGCCATAAGAAAGAAAAATTATAGCAAAATCCATTGAATGAAAATTAAGGTTAAAAGATCAGAGTATTCCAATATCACATCTTAGTAAACACCCTAGATGAAGTTTCATAACTTTGTTACACAACTTGCCAGAAAATCTTAGAGTCTACTTGAAAAGTTTTCATTTAATATATGCTTCTCCATCAATGGTTCTTAGAGCTGCCGGAACCAAGAATTAATATTCTGAAAGGTCAACCACAGTTGAAAATTTTCTCCAAGTCCAACCAGCATCTAAATTTTCTTCTGAAGCTTTGGCCTGTGGTTCTCAATTTAGCAGCGCCGCATTTTGACCAGGTTCAAAAGTTTGATTATTTTGTAATTTCAAATTGTCCAAACACTAAACCAACAGCTCTAATTAGCTTTGTATGTAAGATAAACTCTTCCATATTAGTTACAAGACTTTTTCAACTCTAGCACCAAGTTGCCTCCAGGATTAAATACCAGCCTGACTTATAAATCCTAAGCAGAAAGTTCCCTAGAATGAAGTACTTGTAACTATTGGTGTGATTTGGAAATTAAATATTAAAGCAATATCATATATCCCACAACATACTGAATTGGTATGGACTTTGAATATAATGGTGATCAAAAAATAAAAAAGGCTTTCCCTACCAGGAATAGGACAGAATAAATATTACTGCTCAGTACGTATTTACCTTGTTTAAATAGTTTAGCTGGAAAACACAACATACTGTCACTACCAATACAAAAACCCAAGTCTCGAAGTATTTAAACTGATTCATTTCTGAAAATGTCAGCTTCAGAGCAATTCCCACTGCTTTCACACTCATAACCTACAGATGAATCAAGGATAATCGAAGAATTTCTTTAGGTATACATAAACCTAAAGTAATAACATCAACAAGCTCAAAATTTTGAAACAGACCGTAAGAGACCCCATGAGTGAACAAATTCCAACATATACGACCATGTGGGTATGCCCATAACGTGGTACATATCGGAAAATGAGGACAGCAACCACAATCAATACTAAAAAGGTGTAGACGATGAAACCTGTGAATAAAAAAATTAGCTTGGTACTAACCATGTCTAGGATGTTTGCATAGTGTGTGTCCAAGGAACTATGCATACTACATTCAAGCAGTGTCCTTTGACTTACTCTTACAGTGCTCCTCATTTTTCCTCATGCACACCATTTCAGTAAAAAAATGGTATTTTATTTTAAAATTCGTAGTTTCAAAAGAAGACAACATGCCTCATTGAGTCTACTGCAACACCAACATTCCCAGCATTTCATATTTCTCCATACAACACAAATATTAGAATTTCTAAACAAATGCTTTTCTGTGGTATCTTCACATTCGGGTTGCCGGATCACACTTATCTCCTATCTAGCTGTTCTATAATATAGGAGTAGCAGATAAAGAAGCTCAACCACCCCTTATAGACAATCAATCTATAATGTTAAAGCAAAGTCTAACATGGCAAAAGAAATCTAATGCTAACAAGTTTACATATATTACTGCGCCACAAAAAAGAAGAAAAAAAAAAACCATGTAGTTGCAGCGTGAATGACAAATCAAGAGCAAATGTTAAGTTCCAAAATAAATTTGAATTAAGAGACTACAGTAAATCTGCAAATACCTGGCTGCGTAGCATGCTGCCACACTTGCTTAACAGAATGTATTGGTTTCTCTTGTGGAGCATGCAAAACAATACTTATTGAACCCACCACGCAAAGAGCACAACCAAGCACACCAAAGATATGCAATTTTTCCTCCAAAACAAAATGAGCAAGCACTGCACTGAATAAAAATGTCATCTTGATAAAAACACTCTACCGCAAAAAACTGCTATCACAACTACATGCATGTACACACACGCACACATTCCCACGTGTGTTGCATAAAAACATGCATTGCATTTACCGTGCAAGAGAATGTGTGATCATGCATGAACCTGTGCAAGAATGATATACCAAGAAAGCTTCTCTTGAATCAATAAGGGCAATAATAAGGTGTTTCATACCTGACAATAATACTTAAAGCTCCCAAGGGAGTCACAAGAATTGCTGGAGCAAATGCATAAGCAGCAAAATTAGCTATCTCCCCAACAATCACTACAAAAGAAAATAAGATCAGCACAAAACTAAGAGCAAAAGAGAAATAGAAATTCCAAACATAGCTCTAGGCACCTAATTTGAGTAATTATGCTAGAAAAAACCTAGACTTGCAGTTCATACACAGGCACAATACGTTGGATGATGACTCTTAGACTGAAGTTGCATTTTAAAATGCTTATGAAAACTCATACATAAGGATAATAAGTGAGATAAAAGCTATATATATAAGAAGTTTCTAAGATCGAATCCGTCTATTTAAGAAAAGAAAACGATCACATGTAATCCAACCGCCCATTGCGATCCAGTGATCCATAACTGTTAATTTTTTGGGTCTGCATACAAAAAATCGTTTTTTCCTCTCTCCACACTCACTATAATCCTTGAACAAAAAACCATGGTCATTCGTGCTAGACAATGGCAGACACCACAGGTGCCATCTGTGCCATCGTCATGATGCCTTGGCTATCTGTCATGGCTTGTGCTATGGGCAGGATTGTTGTTTGCCTGCAAGAACAAAAAAGAAAAGCAAAAGAAAAAAAAAAAAAAAATAACAAAAGAAAAAAAAAAAAAAAAAAAACTGTAAATGTAAAAGAAATTTATAATAATTTTCTTTATTATTTGATTGGTGGAGAGAGATAAAAAGAAGGGCTGCATTTAGAAATACATTCAACAATAATCCGATAAAAAAAAATAAAAAAGGGAATGCAACCATGCTAACAAAGCATTTGAAGAGATGATTAAACTTACTTGATATCATCCCAACCCACCACAAGGGTTCATACAAGTACGTATACCCTCCAGATCCTGATTGCCATAGAGCCACAAACACAGTTAACAAGATATCGATGAAACCAATGTTCCAAGACCTCCATAACAATATAATTGAATAAAAATACACGAACACAAAATTATTTGCCAATTTACAAGGTATTTGGGAATTCAAAACTATATGGTGATTAAGACCCAAAATAGAAATGGGATCAAACCTGCTCGGATTCCTTTAGTCCCGGCTTTTATAAGACCTTTCTTCTTCATAATAAAACTAGCCCCAATAAAAATGCTTGAAGAAACCGCCAGAGTGAGTCCATGGAAATTGTCAGGCGATAACCCCATTGATCACACAAGGGATGAAGAAAAAGAAGAAAAGTGCAAAGCTTGCAGGGCCAAGAAATACTATTTGCAAATCCAAATTACTTCCTACATCCGTAGAATCACGCAAAACAGATCACAAAACACAATCCCAATTAACAAACACGTGCATATACATAAATATAAACACATTCATATATTAAAGGTGATAAATACAAAGTCATACCTTTCTTGGCACACTGCAAAATAGGCAATGGGAGTTAAAAACCCACCACCACTATGATGTCAATTTTATTTTATTTTTTGACATGCGACAAGATGAAGTGATTGAATTGGTGAAAATGGTAAATGGGTTTCTGGGATGTGTTGAGAGAGAGAGAGAGAGAGAGAGAGAGAGAGAGAGAGAGAGAGAGGAGAGGAGAGGAGAGGGAGTCTTTGGTGGATTGTGAGGCAAACTGTATGTCCGTTACATTGGCGTATCAGAAACGAATGCCCTCCGCATCCCGCGTTCTTCTTTAAATGCCTTGCTGTTATTATTTACTAGCACCAATTGGTTTTTTTTTAATTTTTTTTTAAATTAATAAAGATAATTGTAGTTGTGCTGTGTTCCACAAAAATAAGACCCATTATTTAATTTTATTTTTAATTTTTAATTTTTGTTATATTAAAAAGTGTGAATTTACCATATTATTCTCATTTAATTAATATTTTTAAGTTTTAATATTTACATTAAGTAAGGGTATTTTTTGGTATTTTGAATGTTTCACCATCCTCTCTCTTTTTTTTTTTAACATTGGAGGAAAGAAACTAGGGGTGGGCATTCATATCTGAAAACTGAAAAACCGAGCCGAATTGGGCCCAAAAAAAGGGAAAAAATCGAGTTGACCAAAAACTGGACCGAGTTTACCAAAAACCAAACCAAACCAATTTGGTCTAATTTCAGTTTCAATTCTTGTAGTAAAAAAATAAAATATGGCTAAACCGGACCGGCTTAAATATATATTATTTATTTATATAATATTAGCCCAAACTCAATTTTTTCTCCACCTAATCTTTCTTCAAGCTCAAATACTCTTCTCCAAGCCATCAAGCCCAACTCCAAGCCCTTTATTTGTTTTTCAAGTCCAAAAAAATAAAATTTTAGTTTAAAATAATAATAATAATAATAATAATTCGGTCCAAAATAGTACCGAACTAGAAATTGAATCAAAATCAGTTCAAATCAAATCAGCCAATTTTATAATTTTTTTCATTAAACCAGGATCGAACCAGACTGATTAAATAGTATCAATTTTGGTTTGAGGTGAAAATCATACCAAATTGGACCGCGCCCACCCCTAAACTGGGGTTCAATCTTAGGTGCCATCATGGGTAGGGGGAATCCAACATCATTGTGGCGAGAACCCATTGGTTTTTCATTATTCTCTTCTTTTTGCTATATATATATATATATATATATATATATATATATATATATGGCCTTGTGATATTATTATTTTATTTATTTAGCCGTGTGATGTTATTGTTTCTAGGTCTGGGCGTGAGTTGATTTGAAATAGCAGAGGACTTTTCTGTTAACCGTATCGAAGTTTTCGGGTTTAGGGAGAAGAGGAAAGAAGAAAAATAAAGAATAAAGGAAGAAGAATAAAGGAAGACGAAAAAAGAGTAAAGAATAAAGGAAATAAAGGAAGAAGAAGAAGAAAGAAGTTAGTGGGCTTGGTATGTGCTTGGCGGACAGTTATGGGCTTCGTTAGCTAGGTAGGACAGTCATGGTTAGTTATAGAATGGGCTAGCTTGGTAGAGTTAGTGGGCTGATATAGTATTATGCAGCCCACAATGCCTTTTTATCCAACCATTAACATGTTGACACATATTTTTATAATTAAATAAGAAATCCATATTAAAGATACGTTTGGTACCGGTAAGAGATGTCCCCACCCGTTCATTTACCCAATATTTTCGGTACAGATTAGATCAGTTAAATTAATAATTAATCATTTTAATTTAACCAAACTAAACCGTCGGTATGATACGGTGGTACACAGATTTTTTAGATGAGATGTCCACCCCTAATTGTTTTGTTGTGATGCTATTATTTCATTGTCTTGTGATGTTGTTGTTATTGTTATGAAAGTAAGAAAAGAGAGATAATAGAGAAAATAGTTGAAGATAAAGAAAAATATATTTTTCGGTGGAAGGCCTAATCCAAGTACAATGCATTGGCAATATCTTTTTGAAATTTCTTTCTTTTCTGTTACACATATCTATATAATTTTTTACAATAAATTTTGGGGTGGCTGGGTTTGCGAGTAGGAGTCTAGATTTTTTTTTTTTTTTTTTTTTTTTTTTTTTTTTTTTTGGTATAGTACAAAGTGATAGTATAAACTACATAGTGAGGGGGATTTCTCACACACACGAAACTATGATATATTGGGAATTCGAACATAAAATCTCTAGTTTGCAAGTCAATGACCTTTTTCACTAGGTCCAGACCCCGTAAGAAGAGTAGGTCCAGACCTTATTTCATAATTTCTCAAACCTTTGGTTAACCGAACTGAAGGTATACATCACTTAAGTTAATATTTTCTCCTTTCTTTCTCAACTCTTTCATTTCTTCGTATTCTTATTTCTAAATTGATCGCATTATCAGTGGAAAAGCTCGTTGGTTCGACACTAGTCTTCGAAAAGTGCACACCGATGAGGTCAGTTCAACATGCGGTTTTGAGCTTTCAGGTATGGTTTAGTTCAATTGGCCACCCCTAAATGGGTTAACAATGACTGTGAGTGGACTGAAGGGAATGGTTTATGTGGTTTATAGTTTTTTTTTCTTAAATGTTTGATGTTATGTTTACATTATTATACAAAAACTTGCCCACGTAATTTCCTCATGATTAAAGCACAGGTCATTTTTTTAATGAAAAATTGGATAAAATGTGAGAAAAGAGAACTTGACTGTATTTCATAGTTTGAGTCCCAATTATTACAACAACAACAAAATGTTTAGAGGGAAATTAAAAATGAGGTAGGAATATAGCAAAAATAACCTTAAAATAAGTATTGAATTCAGTCAATTAAATTGAATAAACTTCACAAGATTTTATATTGGAACTCGTTAAAATCTCAATTGAGTAGATCCATACATACTTTGACTGAAAAGAAACCTAAAGGGTTCTTATCATGAATGGTTTCTAAATTTGTTAAACGTTTTCATTATAAAATTGTAAAATCAATGTGGTACTTAATATTTTGGTGTACACATCAGTTTGGTTCATGTCACGACATTCCAATAAAATCTTTAGTGAAAATTAGTCATGTAACCAACTTTATGGGGTAAGTTTTGTCAAAGTACGACTTGTCCATGCATGAAACAAAATAAAGTTCACGTCCTTTACTCAACAATATATCATTGATGGAACCCCAATGTGAAATCGTAAATAGAAAGCGTATGACATTGTTGAGGAAAATATGTGAGTTTTATTTTGTCTATGTTAATAATAATCACTTGTTGAGGCCCAAAAAATCCACAATTTGACCCAAATAAATGCTCGGCCCAATGCGATACCTTACCGAAAAGAAACCCGATTTGGGCATGCAAAAGTTTGTCATATGCGCTTGCACACATGCCACGCCAAGCAAATAAGCAACATGTCATGCTACAATCTTAAGTGGGCCCAAGCCACACGAATGCCTGGGACTTGCTGAGCGGGTTGTGGTATGAATGGTTACGAGTTTTCATGAGGCCCATTGATGAGCCGAGAAATGGAAGTTTGGGGCTGCTTGGGAGCCCCAAAACTCAAGCCTATTTCTTGAGCTCAAATATGTGGGTAAACATAAAGGAGAGAAAATAGCCCATTACCTTAAGATAGCCCATCACTTTGGGAAGTTGGCCCATCCCTTTAGTGAACTAGCCCATTACCTTAAAGAATGGCCCAAGTGACCAACAAAATATTTGAAAATCTCCAGCACATGGCTGGAGACAAAACCATGACAAAAGCCAAAAGCTACTCACATTTGCAGGCTGCTGGAATCTCCAGTACATGGGAGGGAACAAGTTTCAAGTAAAAACATCCAAAAACCAAGGGATACTTGAGCAAAACACCATTCAAATCAGTGTACATACCCATTTCTTTCCCTCATCAGACCTACCTTTGGAAGAAGGGAGAAAAGAAGGAAGAAATATGGCTGAAAATATAAGTTCTCCACTGTGACAATTGCGGGAAAGGGCCTTGAGCACCCAAAAATCCCTGATTTTGTGCAAATGGGCAGTGTGAATTTCACCAAAATAAGATGATTGAAAAGATGAGGGGAGAAAGGAAGGGAAATACTTGGCCAAATCGGATAGAAACCATTAGGGTTTCTTGGAAAATGATAGCTTTCAGCGCTTATAAAAAGAGGCATTTCCTACTCATCATCACAACCCACATCAGAGAGCAAGCTTCCTCTCTTACTCCCAAAACCCAGCAATTTCGTGCTCAGCTCATCCTTTTCCCTTAGTTTTCCCTCTTGGCAAGCTGTTCTGACACTTGACAGAGTCTTTGTCAAGCTACCGGAAAAAACACTCAAGCCACCTTTTTCTCTCTTTTTCCTCATGCTCAACCAAACCTCTCTGCAAAATCATTTCTCTCCAACCTTAATACCCCATCTTTCCCCTAGGAACACTTAGTTTTCTCTTCAATGCTAAACTCATGACAATTTTGCTCCCATGCCACAAGCTTCTCATGCCAAGCTAGAAAATTTATTTGTAAGCTATTGTTATTTTTATTGGTGAAGGTAACCAAGGTGTTTCTTAAGGCATCTCTATCCTTTTTTGGGGTTTGATCTTCGAACTCAAGCTTAAGGGGCAATTTCATCTATTTTGCTATTTACGGCAGCCCAGGCCCGTAGTAGCTGTCGGAACGAAAAAGTCCCTACATCACTTAATAGTTTTAATGAAAGTTTTAATGAAATACAATGACAAGACCCAAATTGATGTATGAATAAAAACTAAAAATAACATTGATTTAATTGAAAATTTGAGGACTAGACCAATCCATTTAATGGATCATTTGCCATAAAAACACAAAACTAAATAAATACGATTTTTTATATTTAAAAAAAAGGGTTAAATATCTTTTTTGTCATTGGGTTTTACATGAAATTTCAATTTGGTCACTGAGAATATAAAAAAAAAACCAAATTGATTGTTATATTAACCAAAGTTTATAATTTATAAACCTGCCGTTAATTTTTATTATTTAAATACCTTTTGATCACTGGGTTTTACACCAAATTTCAATTTGATCACTAAGATTTTTTTTAAGCCTAAATCCATGCAAATGCTATGCTCACACACTGCTAAAAATTTATGGTTGGTGTAGCATCAATTAAGGCTAAAAAAAGGAATCATAACATGACAAAATATGTTTATATCTGAATAATAGTTTCACAAAAATGCAAATTGATCTTTCAAAAAACTCCAATCATAATCCCAACCATTATCATTCTCCCACATTAAAAATATATATATATATCAAATACATAGATTTGATAAAATAAATAAAAAGAGTTCAAAATATAGTTTCGCATTTGCATGGCTTTTGGCTAATTTTTTTTTAGTAACTAAATTGAAATTTATTGTAAAATTCAGTGACGAAAAAGGTATTTAACTCTACAATAACTGAAACTAACTGCAAGTCTATAAATTATATTTACACCATAATCAACCAAGCACATTTGGCATTATACGACTGGTACCTAAGCAGGCACTCCGGCTACCAAAGAGAAAGAGACACTCTGAAAGATACCCGAACAAACCCTTAGAATACAAGTGACATCACCACCTTCTTAACCTACCGAAGGAAGACCTCCTTTCGAAGCAGTAACAACCTGCTGATACCCTCAACTACAGAACCTAGTTTTCATGGACACGTGTCGCCTCAACAGTTTGCACAAAGTTCCACATCAAAACTTTGTGCAAAACTTTCATTTTCACTTCCCTATAAATAGGGAACAGTGCCCAAGTAAAAAAGGGTAACTACTTTTCATTTTTACTATTACTCTGCCCAAATTACCACATATCCCATATTCGCTGACTTAAGTATCAGATAGCCTTCGGCAAGTACCACATCGGTGCTCGAAACTTGACGATTGCTTCTTTCTCATTTTCTTTTGCAGGACCCCTTCGTGCCGAAGGTTCATAACCCTCTCGCCCTGCGAAAGATCCACCACTCCTTCACCTAAGTTGACTCTTCAAAAAAGAACATCAACAAATTATAATCTTTTGATAATACAATGACTAATTTTGCTAAATTTGTTTCTTAATATCCAAATTGAAATTTCGTGCAAACACAAAGTTATTTAATACCGAAAAAAACCAAAACAAAAAACAAAAAATAAGAAATAAAAATTCATAGGGCGTATCTGTCTGTTTTGACCTTTTGCTTCCCCTTCTGTTCAAAATATCGCACCTTATCGCGAACCCAAATCTTACGCCGTCCGGAAAAGAAAATAGGTGCGCTCTCTTTCTACGCCCATTCCTGAATTTCATTGAAGAGATTCTAGACGTTTGGTTGCTGAGAAAGTCCAATATAGAAAATCCTGAGAAAATTGACAAGAAAAAGAATCAACCTGTTTATCTTATTTATTGTAAGTATTTATTATCTCGGCAATTAGACAAAACATTACGAACTTAGGTTTTCCGTGGTTGCTGTGAATTATCGTTGTTTTGCCTCTTCTTCCGTGGTATTTTTGTTTAATTCTAGGGTTTGAAGACAGTGCGAATGGAGATTTTGGCTGATTGATCTTATTTGGGTTTTGAATTCTGTTGAATTGAACGAAGGTATAAACTTTTAGGGTTTGTGTGAGGTTTGGTAATTGGTGGGTAGTAGGGTATTGATGGCTGATCGAAGCACTGCGCTTGCCAAGCCAATATGGATGAAGCAAGCTGAGGAGGCGAGGGTCAAGAGTGAGGCTGAGAAAGCTGCTGCGGCAAAAGCTGCTTTTGAGGCCACATTCAAAGATGTGGATAAGAATCGAGAGAAAGAGGTGGTGGCTGGATCGGATAGTGAATCTGAAGAAGCTGAGGACTTGGCAAACAAGCCGATTGGGCCAGTGGACCCGGCAAAGTGCACTGCAGCCGGAGCTGGAATTGCAGGTGGCACGGCATGTGCGCCGTCTTCCTTTATGGTAGTGACTAAGGACTCTGATGGGAGAAAGGTTCCACATGGTGGTGTGCAGATTAAGGTGAAGGTCATTCCAGGAGTAGGAGTTGGGGGATCGGAGCAAGAAGGGATGGTGAAGGATATGGGCGATGGGACGTACACAGTTACGTATGTGGTGCCAAAACGTGGGAATTATATGGTGAATGTGGATTGCAATGGGAAACCCATCATGGGTAGCCCTTTCCCAGTGTTCTTCAGTGCTGGTACAGGTACTTAAAATTGATGTGCTTTTATATGTTGCTGTCAATGCATTTAGTCCAGCATTACATAAATTTATTGCAGGTTCATTGTTAGTTTGTGAGTTAGTTGGTGTTCTTAGCCAATCTTATTTTTGGAAGTTTAGTGAAGCATGCATAGGTTATAGAATGCTGCATGTAGTTTGTGGTCTGTATGTGAAATCCTATCCGCATAAGGTGCCCCTAAGGTGCACTTTTCTAGGGAAAACCTAAAGTATTTGAGGCAATAAAACTTGAAACCACAAAGAGATAAGAAGAAACAGAAAGATTCTTTTGTAGAAAAGACTGAAAAGGGATAGGGGTTTTAAGGAACATAGTGCCTTGATTTTACTCCTTATCAAGAAATATTGCTGACCGGATATTCCTAGCTCTATTCAGTGTACATCTTATTAACAAGTTACTGATTATCTCTATGACAGATAGTTTAAAGACTTGTTTTCCTCGTGCAGGTACTAGTACTGGCGGACTGCTGGGATTGGCTCCGGCATCCACATTTCCTAATCTAGTAAACCAAACCATGCCCAACATGCCAAATTATTCAGCTTCTGTTTCAGGTGCATTCCCTGGGTTGTTGGGAATGATTCCAGGCATTGTTCCTGGTGCTTCAGGGGGGGCCATTTTGCCAGGAATTGGAGCATCTCTTGGGGAAGTTTGTAGAGAATACCTTAGTGGTCGGTGTGCCAAAACTGATTGTAAGTTGAACCACCCACCTCACAATCTGCTAATGACTGCGTTAGCTGCAACAACCTCTATGAGTAATGTTAGTCAAGTGCCTATGGCACCTTCTGCAGCTGCAATGGCTGCTGCTCAGGCAATTGTTGCTGCCCAAGCTCTTCAAGCTCATGCTGCTCAGGTGCAAGCACATGCCCAGTCAAACAAAGACTCTTCTGGTATAGCTCTCTAATTTTCTGAAAAATTAGGCATTCCATGCCCTCGGAGTGAATCCAATGTGTTTCACAAGTTACTAGTTTCTTACATCTATTTTGGTTTTTTCTTGTAGTCTTATTTAAAATGTGTTTTCTGTTGTTTGCAACTTGTTTCGTTTAAACAGTTACTATATATATGCATGCATTTATATTTGTTTATTAATAATGTCTTACCATCTCTTAATTAGGTTCACCTGACAAAGCTGGGAAGGCTGATGTGTTGAAGAAAACTCTTCAAGTTAGCAATCTTAGCCCACTTCTCACTGTGGAACAGCTGAAACAACTTTTTAGCTTTTGTGGCACAGTTGTTGAATGTACCATCACTGATTCAAAGCATTTTGCATATATAGAATACTCAAAACCTGAGGAAGCAAGTGCTGCTTTGCAATTGAATAATATGGATGTTGGAGGCCGTCCTTTGAATGTTGAGATGGCAAAATCACTCCCTCAGAAACCAGCTATAATGAATTCCTCAATGGCTTCTTCATCCTTGCCCATGGTGATGCAGCAAGCTGTTGCCATGCAACAAATGCAATTCCAACAGGCTTTGCTTATGCAGCAAACTATGACTGCCCAACAGGCAGCCAACAGAGCTGCAACCATGAAGACAGCAACAGAGTTAGCTGCAGCTAGAGCAGCAGAAATAAGTAAGAAACTAAAAGCTGATGGAGTTGACATTGAAGAAAAGGAAACAACAGAGAAATCTAGGTATATTACATTGAGAGGATCTTATAACTGCCAACAAAGCATATTTTATATATTGCCGAGACTTTTGGTATTTAGATTATGAAGAGTCATGTGATGCTTAAATATTCTTAAGCTTATAAATATCCTACCTTTTGGATATCTGAGGCTTGAGATTGATGTTGCAAATTTTATACATAAAATAGTGTTAGTGAATTACCAGTTTGCTTGAATAAGTTTTATTGAACATAAGTTCTTTGAAAACGTAATACTTTATGAACATAATCAGTTGTGTGTAGGGTTTATGTTTTATTTTAATCAAAGTATTCTTTTGCTAATCAATTACTCCTTGTACAGGTCTCCATCACCGCATCGTGCAAAATCAAAATCAAAATCCAGATCCAGATCACCCATCAATTATCGCCGAAGGCGGAAATCTCCTTCTTACTCTCCTCCTTCTCGCTACCCAAGAGATCGTAGGTCCAGATCCCCATTGAGGTCACGCCATTATTCAAGCTATGATAATGACCGCAGGTCCTTCAGAGACATTAAGAATGACAGTGAAAGAACTAGAAGGCGGGATTTAGATAGATCACACGATCATCATTCAACCCACTATGAAAAAGCAAAGCACCGAGAAAGAAGGCGATCCAGGTCAGTATCTACGGATGATAAGCATCATAGAAGACGGTTATCACCAAGAAGTCTGGATGAAAATAAAACGAAACATAGAAGGCGGTCTAGGTCAAAATCTGTGGAAGATAAGCATCACCCTGATGACAAAACTAATGAAATGAGAGATGAAAAAACAAAACATCGTGATAGAAGACGTTCAAGATCAAAATCTGTTGAAGGGAAGCATTACTTGAAGCAGGTAGGTGAAGGTAGAGATAAAAAATCAAAGCATCGTGATAGAAGGCTGTCCAGGTCAATCTCTCCAGAGGCTAAGCATGACATAAGACATGGGTCATCCCCAAGAAACTTGGATGATGTGGGTGAAGGTAGAGATAAAAAATCAAAGCATCGTGATAGAAGGCGGTCCAGGTCAATCTCTCCAGAGGGTAAGCATGACAGAGGACATGGGTCATCCCCAAGAAGCTTGGATGACAATAAATTGAAACACAGAAGGCGGTCAAGGTCAAAGTCTGCTGAGAGGAAGCATCGCTCCAATGATAGAGCATATAAAAGTAGAGATGAGAAAGAAAAGAGTCATAGGAGAAGACGGTCCAGGTCAGCATCACTAGAACCCAAGCGTCGCAGAGGAAGAAGGTTATCACCGAGAAGTTCGGATGAAAAGGAATTAAAACACAGAAGGCGGCGCTCTAGGTCTGAATCTTCTGAAGGCAAGCATCAAATTAGTTGTAGAAGGGATGAGAATGGTGATAATGAATCAAAGCATCTCGAAGATGGCAATCCGGAACCAGGTTCTGTGGTGAATGATTCGATGAAGAAAATTGATGGTCGAGTGGTTATTTCAGCGCAAGAGGACTTTGGCTCGAAGGAATCAATGGGAAATATGGAAACTGAAGATAGTCTAGGTATGCAAAAACATAGTTTTGTGCAAGATCTTGACAATGAAGGAGGCCCAGCACCACGAACTTCTAGAGTCTCATTGAATGTAGAGGAATTGAGCAAACAGGAAGTGTCTATCACCCAGAATCTAGAGCTTGGCACCTCTGGTAATTAGCAAGGTGATAAATACTGTTTCTTCACTTTTGATTACTAGCATTAGCTGAGTAATCTATTTGTGTGGTTTGCAGCACTGGATAATCAAAATGTTCGTGAAAAGTCAGCTGATGCGGATGATGTGAGCAGAACTGGCTCCGGGAAGGATTACATCATGCTGAAGGCTCAGAAGAGAAGTTCCCTGACACCAGACGCAGACATGTTTTCTGATGACCCCAGTGCAGAAGAGAACTTGTGAAAATATGAATTCAAACCCTGGCGCTGATTAAGGGTTCAAGATTATATGTTGCTAGGGATGCTGACAAGTGTGGCTGAACTGATAAAAATTCAGTCTAATTTGAGGGACTAACTGTGATACTTGATCATTCTGGGGAATGATCTGTTGCTTCTCATAAGAAGGACGATTTTTCTTGGAAGATTTGCTTAGTGTTTCTTTTGTTGTGTGGCACTTCATAAGTATACTCTTTTTTCTTTTTTCTTTTTTCTTTTTATCTTTTTGCAGGTCCTTGTGGTCTCTGAGCTGATCTGGATATGGTTTAAATATTTCAAGAAGTGTTCTGATATCATCTGCATTCAACCATCCAGTGTTTGTAGTGAGCTTCTTTTACTGATTGATGTATGTTGGACCATTACCTCTAACATTACATTATGAATTACTCCAACTATTTATTTTAAGAAATATTGCTACTTTCATGCTATTTAGCTTTAGCTAATTTGGTGCATATTTTTTGGGAAGATATGAATATTTGGTCTTTATAATAAGCTTATCTTTTCTGTAGGTCTGTTAGAAAAATCAGTTCCTCAGGGTCAGCTTGTGTCTAATGTCTACAGATTTTGTGGCAACATTTTTTTTTCCTGTTGGCACTGTTTATGTAAATATTTGAAGTATTTGTTCTTGGCGTTTCTTTGATCTAGTTGGTCATGGGTCCATATTTTATTCATGTTTGATGGTATGGTGGGCCTGTTATGTCTCAAACACATGCAGGTTACTCATTGGTGATTTTGATTGGAGCTTTCTGAGGTTCAGTTTGGCAGGGTTGATTTTCTCTGATGTATATGAAGGTATGCAGTCATGGATATTGGTTCATGGAGAGCTTATGCTATTAAGCATCTGTCCAAGTCTTGAAAGTTTTGGGAGTTATGAACCTAGTAACTTACCCAGATGTTATAAATTAGTGTCTTACTCCCCCTCCATCTTTCTTTCTTTTTTCCCCCTTTATTTTTCTTTTCCTCTTTTTCCTCCTCCCTAGAACTTGTCTTGGTTAGGGAAAGCTACTTCTAAGGTCGTGTGAAATCAAATGTTGCTGGGATGAATTGCATCAAAATTCCACCATATCTGGATATGAGCAGACCAGCTGATTTATACAATCTTTAATTCATGGTGACTTGCAAAATGCTTATTTTTAACAGGTAAAGCACAAGTCTTCTTGGTTGAGTTTCATTTGTTGATACTGGTTGTGTACGTGTAGATAGCGTTGTATAATTGGTATTGGGATTGTTCCTACTGAAATAATTAGGCAAATGTTGCCACTGTTCCATTTGTTAGTTCGGTTGACCAGTAGAAGTTTTCTCTTTGATCTGTCACTTATTGTTTTTGGTAGTTGCATAGTTAATGGAGGGCTGGCTACTACCTTTTTCATTGCATATATATAATTGCTAAATCAAGACATGCTGTATCAAGAAAACATAAACATATTAAATTGTTGTTATAGGTTGTCTATAAGTGGTTCTTAATGTTGTTAACGTCTGAACCCCCCCTTTTTTTTTGTTGGTTGCCCTTATTTTCTCCGGTCCTTTCCCCCAATTTCTTTTATTTTCTTTAGGGTAAGCTGTGGATGGTTAGCGCTGCTGCCTTTTGGGTCTCAACTTGGAATCGGTTATGCTTGACGAGTATCTGAGTTGTATTCATTGTGCTCTCCCCCCATATTTTCCCCTCATTTTTTCTTTTTGTCTTCCTTTTTAATTTTTTAATTTTCTAGATTTCTACAAGAACAAAGTTCCACTGGTATGCAGTCATGGATATTGATAGAGACCTCCCTCGCCTGATGGTGAGCAGTTGTGGTTGGCCTTGAGCTGGAAATGCATTTCACACTTGATGCTGGGTTTAGCTGACACAAATGGAGAGCAGTTTGGCCTCTCTATAAAACATTGTTGCCATTGCCATCTATGAAGGTTTCTTTTACTGTTCTCGCTGTAGTTTATCATGAATCAGTGGACATAAAAACCAAAGGGCTAGCAGGGAAGTCTGAACTATTCATTCCTTGTGACAAAAGCTTCTGTAGGTTGCTTGAGAACACCACCTCATTGATTACCTTTGGTTGAGCTGTTTGAAAATTGGCCGATCGTATTAGATAATAATAATAATTTAGCGCCAAATCATACTAAAGCTCATTCCAAAATAAGATAAGCAACTAGTATTACTTGTCTCCAAATCATAGTCGAACGTATATGCAAAAGTCACTTGGTAAAAACACACCCAAAAAAAATAAAGTTTAAATACATGTGTCAAACTGCAAGTTGCTCGAAACAAATCATAAATTTTACCAACTGTAATTCAGTGTTTGAAACATACTAAATTACGCTTGCAATTCCTAAATATATGTTAATCAGCTGTGTCAATTTTTAAATGGTCTCCATCTATATATGGTTTCTCATGGCCTAGGACAGCTAATATTTGTTCCATGATGTTTTGAGGTTTCATCACCTAGGAGAGCATCCTTGTCTTGAAGTTGAGGAACTTTGTATCTACTAACTAAGCAAATAACTAGGGTTTTAAGAAATTTATGTTCCTTGTCTTTTGCTTTTAAGCTTTAGCCAATAGATTGGGCTTTACATCCCCATCAATTTTTAAACCCAACTTTTAATTTTTGATACAAAAGAAACCAAGAGCTTTGAATTATGCCCTTGGATATGGTTGAAGTCCTTTGCATTCCAATCTAACACTGGAGCTATAAGCACCAACCAAACTTAAATTTCTTTAACCCATGTGTTTTTTCAAAGACTCTTCTCAAGATATTCATGCTTAAGAAAGATAAAAGACAGAAGGGGCTTGTAGCGGCTAAGAGTATTTACCCTTGTACTTAAGGTCCAAGGTTCGATTCCCATTTTTCCAATATCGCTTTGCTTGTATAAATAATAATAATAATAAAAAAAATACAATCAGATAGTAGAAGAGCTATTTACACGTGTTCATGCATGTGCTGAAAAGCTAATGAAATTGTTATATAGCGGCTAATTTGAGATGTTGATTGCCTTTGTTTGGGATCTTTGATGCAAATTAAATATAGGGTTGCCAAGAGGGTGAGAAGGAAATGTAGGTATATCAAAGTACTATTATTACTCCAGAAATCATATCATACTGATGTTGGTGAAGATCCGAAGGTCCCAAACATTTAAAACTAAGAAAAATCTGGACTCCTGAGAATATTTTATATAAGACATCGTAGAGGACACAATCTTTGAGTAATTTGAAATTCATTTCCTACATCTGTTGGAATCCGAATTCGACTTACACAAAAAGCCTTCTTGGTCCAGCTTCTGAATTTTTTTGTGGTATGCAAAAATAAAATATAAATAAATAAAAGAAGGCATGGAAGAATCGGCTTTCCTTGGAGCTATTTTTTAAAATAATTTTTTGGTAAATTTCTTGAGGTTAGGGTTAACATAAACAGGAAATAGAAAAACTTTAGACTAATAAGGTCCTCGCCCTTTGACAAACTTAAGGGTTAACACGAATTGTTTAACATAAACAAGTTTCATTTAGGATGATCCTTCACTTGGTACACCTTGAACATCATTTTCAAGCTCAGGAAAAGAAAAATAAAAACCATCCTTTTCAACAGCATTTGCTCTGATAACCATGGATGCTAAACAAGATATTTTAGTTTATTTAGGAATTTTTAATATGAATTTAAGCAGCTGTCATGGCACTCGTGGGTGATGTATGACATTCAAAAATATTTGTTTTAATATTCATGCTCACTCTTTTTTTTTATAGACATTTTGACAGGAAATGTCTTGCTTCTGTATCAAGTTAATAGTTTCCTCCAAAGTTTTGAGGTAATCCAAAGCTGTAAATAGATGTTGGATTAAGAATTGCACTTCGTAATTTTCTTTTCCCAAATATGTTCAACTAATTCTTAAGATCTAGCCAAAAACAGTTGTAATTGAATTTATACTGTTTTATTGACTTTTTTTTAAAGAATGTAAAACTTATTTTGATAGCATGTTCGCGACATAATAAACTATTCAGTTAAATAATCTTTTATTATTGAATAAAAAGAGATAGATGCGTAATTATATACAACTAGAACCATGTTTAAATACTTTCTTATGTCTCATTTTTCATATAAATTCCATTTTTTCCCCAAACTAAGTCTCTCAATTTCTTGTATATTTTTTCTGACTCTAAAAAATTTGGAGTGCCTAACCTCTTGGAAGGATGATTCCGTACACTCAGCCTCAACATTCAATAAATAAAGACTATAAATAACAAATAAAATGAACTTTTAAGGATAGGCCCTAACTAATTATTATTTTTTGAAAAATGCACACATATTCTTTCTTTTTTTGAAAGAATAGGTCGTTAAGTAGTGTCAATGGATCCACACACTATGATGCACTTATAATGATAGGTTTAACAATAGTGCCTGAACTTGTACATGAGTCGCATTTTAGTCCTTGAACCTGAAAAATAGTTGACGTAGTCCCTCAACTTCATTTTCATTAGCACTGTTAATCCTATGTTACGTTTTCCGTTGAATTTAGAGGTAAAATGGTCATTTCATGTCCAACCTCATCTCCCCTACCAGCTCCACCACTTTCTACCCTAACCCACCATGGGACCACCACCACCACCATTCCCCAAAAAGCAACAATATAAAATAATAACTCATTTGTAAACATTACAGAATTGAGTGATGTAATAAACTATAATGAATAATAATAAATATCATTAAAACTGGTTAAATAGGAAGAAAAGAAAATGATCTTGAGAATATGGAATAAGTAATTCTCGCAGTGACATTATCAATTTTTCAGTCCTCGGATTGGTGTATGTGGTCAATGCATGTGTTCTTAAAATTACAAGCTGCTGCTGACTTTTGCGTCCTTCAAATTTTCAAACTAGTACAGTACCTACGCATTGAGTATTTTGACAAATTGTCTGAGATTTATAAGTAAAAAACTATCAATAAAATGATTCAGTATTGATGATTTTATTATATGCTTTATCTTCTT